TTTCCTAACTACAGACACTGCTTCGGTACTTCTTTTCTAAAATTGTTTAAATTCTGCAAAAAAAACAAAAAGTGTGTTACCACAATACGTGACAAAATGACATTGGTATTATAAATCTTCTAGAAGTTTTTCAATCACTACATTCAGATAGTGACATGCCATTTGAAACTTTTCAACTTTTAGAACTTTCATTTGTCACTATGTCAATTTTAGATGTAGTGTGACTAATGAAGTTTTCATTGATTAATCAAACTAATCAAAAGTAATCAAATAATCTTTTCTCTTAGAATCTAGAATTTTGTAACAGACACAATAAAAGTGCACACTCAAATCTAACAAAAGTTACCTTATTATTTTGCAAAGTATAGACATTATAGCTAACTTCAATCATCACTAGTCAAAACTAGCTAGACTTAGTCATAACTAGCTAGATTTAGTTAGACCTAAGCTAACCGTGATCAATTCCGTGGCTACCTCAAATCCTACTTTGCACATACAAAAATAGATCTTTAAAACCAAGGATGATTGAATAGTGAGGTGTTGTTATGATGTTGAAGGCAATCAGCTCGAAGTGAACACCAATACAAAGTTCTAGGAAAGTTGTCTCGTGTGTGATTGCACTAGAACTGATTTTTGTTCATCGATAACTTCCTCGGAGTAGGAATAAACTTTTTTACAATGGAAATGTTGTACCGCATGACAAAACCTAGATCAATAAAGCAAGTGGACTCAAAGTAGACTAACGCAAATTCTTGAAGTATGATGTCCGAATGAAAAATAATCTTGACGGGTTGAGTGAAACTAGGATTGGGGTCAGCACTTAACATGAGTCTTTGCAAAGTAGATGTTGAGTGAAATTTAAACGTACGGCTCTTACTACGACTAGATGCTCTTGTTTTCCAAAACTTGAAGTGTTTTGCAGATTGCACTTGAAATTTTGCAGACTTCAGAGGGCACTTACGTGCAATGTTCAGGATTTCCGTAATGCGGACAAGTTGTTCGTTCGGCGCCGGAGTTTTTCAGCCTCTATCAAAGATTTGAATTTGGTTGTGTCAATCTACATGGAAGCAGATTTTAAAGAAGCAAGACAAGCAATAGCTATTGAGTACCGGAGTAAGGAACGCATTATGGAAAATTGATCCAATGTTGGATGTTGGAGATAATCTTCTATTTGGCGACGTTTGATGAAGCGGTTGTCCCATCTAATGGCATGTGAGTGGATTTGCTAGTTCAAAAGAGAACACTGGTGGACAGTTCAGGTCACTACTAAATCTGCGTTCATCTCGCATTGCTACGCAATTCATAAATTCGTTGACGATGTTAAATATAGGAATGAAACGTTACAAATAAGTAACAACCACTATCAAAATAGAAATCCAACAGATCGTTGCGGATAACATGAGTGAATTCGTTTAGATTTTCAACGTCTGAAATTGCGAGATGCACCAAAAGTGAGTTTTAACTCACCGATCAAGTGTTGAACATTTATTTATTGTTGGTTGAACCTCATACAATCATCATTGAGTTGCATCACCATATTGTGTATCGCAACCTTGATGTTTCTTATGAAGGCATTTAGAATCCATGTCTCATGTTGAAATGCATGTCAAAAAGAGCTTACTGGAATTTTAAAATAGTGAGCATTGATCTCATGATGAATTCATGGAGCCAGCTTGTGGCACAGAACATAGTGTGTCATCAAGAGGCAGATGTTTTGGAACAAATTGACTTCATCTTATAAACAAGCTTATGGTGTAGTCGCAGTTGCAAAATCATAGATACTAGTGTTGCATAACATGTTTCACCATCAAGCTTGAAATATGACTCTTATAAGTGAATGTTCAATTCATGGAGAAAACACCACACAAATAAATGCTTCTAGTGAAGATTGTTGCATCTGCAAAATAACACTAGCAACATGACCAGTTATGTTTTGAGCTTTGTCCGACGATGAATCGATCGATTGATTTCCCCAGTTGGATGAAAGTACGTCAAATAATTTGTGTAGGTATTTTAAATTGTAACAAACCAATATGAGATCCGTAAAACATGATTGAAATGAGATGTAAATTATAGAGCTGACAGAACTACAACATCGTTAAATGAGATATCCATGCAAGTAGAGACAACGAGTACGATCAAAAAAGCTCACAGCATGTAGAGGATGTTAGTAATGATCTGGAAGTTGGCATTGCATTGAACGCGTACAAATATAGCGATCTTCAAATCATTCATTCCATCAGACTTGGAGATCATTACAACTTCTTTTGTCGTCTAAAGTGCCAACGTAGTCTGCCGGAGATTGATACCAATGCCAACGTACTTGATTGCGAGGTGGTATGTCATTGGTGTCTTGATGGTCACACGATAGTTAACTGTGTCAGGATTGAACGTAAACACGTTTGGCGTTGTCGTAGGTTTGGCCTTCAACATCTTCCAAATTTTATAACATTTTTCTGATTTCAACCTCAATGATGTACTTATTGATGATATAGGTCACATGATCTCTGTTTTGGTCTATATGTGACAGGATCGTGTTCACAAAGTGACTCTCAATGTCAAAATATAATAGCTTATTTTCTTTACAAAGGGCATGATACTACTTCTGACAGAATGAATGCTTGCTTTTGAGATGAATGTGATAGTTCTTAGGGCGGAATGTTGGACCAAACGTCTATTTGGTGATCATTTTGTAGCGTTTCGCACCGACTTTGCACTCACGATCAAATGCAATACAAAATTTGCATGCAAAAGCAATGACACAACTCGTGTAGGCATCTCTTTCTGAAATCTGATGATCATTTCTTACTCCTATTGATGCAACGAGTTGAAAGATGTAATGGGCCTTGCTACCGTGTTCACATGCTTTCCTGCTCCACTCATTTGCAAATTTGACACTATGAACTACTTAGTCCCGCACTTTTGAAATTAGGCATTCCCAAAAGATGAGATCATGCATATTAGGCATCTATTTTAAAATGTCTAATTCTAGAGACCTGCTTATTCTATATGATCAAACTATGTCACTTTGTCAAAAGTAATTTTGTCAATGTTTTAAGTACCCCCAACCGTCTTCTAAATGTAGAAAGACGGTTGTAAACACTCCTGTAACTTTTTCAGAAGTGACAACACATGTCTTGATCAGATTTATATTCAACAATTTGATGAAAAAAATTATTTTCAAGTGGAAATACTTTGAAAAAAACTTTCTTCTAAGAAAAAAAAATATTTTTACTTTGTTCAAAATACTAAGTTCAACTTTTCATAAAAGACTCTTTGTATTACAGAACTTAGCTTCACTCTAACATATTACAAATCTTTTGTTTGAATCCTTGTCAAACATATCACTACGAATGTCAATTTTGACAAATAAATTTTGCTTAAAGTAAATGCAGTTCGTTTGGTTATCATTATATGCATGATATTAAATTCAAAAAAAATCGAAAAAAAGTATGAATTACTATGCAAATAAACGATTATAAAAAGTAATTGATTTAAAATTTAATAGTATGAAAAGTAAAAGCTTTACCAGATTTAAAAATTTCAATGTATTTGTTATAAATAAACATCACAAAAGTAGTCCAATGCATACATTAATTTTTTTCAAAAGAACAAGAAATTGAAATATATTATTTTTTTTATAAATCTTTAAAAATTCTATAAATTATATTTAAAAAAATTTACTGATAAAAATATTTATTTATTTAACATGCAAAAAATATGTTGACATCTGCTTTAAATCATTTATGTCATGCAATTACAGGACATTAGAAGATGTTTGAAAATTGAAATTGCATTAGATGAACTATTGAAAATAATTCTATACAAGGAAAGTTTTGAAAATTGGAGATATCAGGCTCGAGCATGAATCCACCATCGTTATTTCCTGTTTCTTTTCATGCATTTCCCACAGAAAAAGGTGACTAGCAATTCTTCCAACAATTTTTTGTGGCAAATCTATGGAACAATTTCCTAAACCTATTGCTATATTTCTCGGACAAATGCCAACTCGATTCCAGAGAAATTCGGTGATGCAAAATCCTTGCTGCGTCCCAAGAATGCCAACGAGCTAGGTCCAAATGAGTATTCTACACACATGACATCAATGCGCACTTTTCTGAGAGTTGGGGCAGCGAGAGCATGAATTCTCCACCGTCATTCTAATCCAAGTAGAGATGCAATACGCAAAGCCATGTCCGTCACGAGGCCATGTCAAACTCGAGACATCACCAGTGAAGAAGTCTATCAGATCAATCATCACGAGCAAATTAGAAGTTCATTTTGTTCTGATACCAGTTTTTGTAGAAAACAAAAATTAGAAAATTATCACACACCAAATGTATGATTCACCCAAGCTCGGATCATATCCACGGGAGTAGCGAGAGATTTAATCAAAGAGCTAACAAATTATTTCTTTGAATGTATATTCCTATATATAGATAAATTTTATTTTGATAACTAATATTTGATATAACTTGATTCAGATGAACTCGAGATCTTAATTAATCTTAACAAAATTTAGAAAATATTTGATATGAAATACTTTGTGATTCCTTAATTAAGATGTAACATTCAAGAAATAATAAAAGTATATGGGATATAAAATGAGAGACATTGAAATACATAGAATAGTCATAATACTTAATAAGAAAGTAAATCAAACCTTGAAGAATCATGCTTGAAATTTATCCAAAAAACGTATCTAACAATTTAATCATATCTTTTACAAATAATATTGATTCAAAAGTAAATCAATTTTGTAAAAAAGTTACTACGTTTTACTTACTATCATCTAGGAGTGTGATAATTTTGAATTTAATAATTAATTTTTAATGTACCAAAATAAAACTCATAATATGTCGTGATTTGAGCTTTGAAAATAAGAGGTCAAAATAATTTCATTCTTAGATTTGTTGAAACTTTCAAATATTTTATGAATTTCAACTGATGTTCTTGAATTTCTATTTGTTACATACAGTAAAGTATTTACACATTTGTTGCCAGAGATGGATCCGAATTTGTCTTATTAAAATTGATAATATGATACAAAATTGCACTCCTACGATAGACAAGCTATAACGATCCACACAAATACACTTGTGGGGATACAAAGAGCACTAAAAATGCCTCGTTGACAAACTTCCTCAGTCAAAGGGGTTAGTTCCTCTACATTAGTATCGTCAGATGAATGCTGATTTTATGGGTATATCCTGTACAGAGGCACAGAAGTCAACTTCTACAAACCAGCTAATATGGCATTACCATCATTGAGGGAGAGACGACTATTACTACTGCTACAAAATCTGCAATTTACACGGGTCCGCCTTGTTCGTCCTTCCTAGGATTCATCACCGTAATCATCTTCTTCGGCCGATGATAATACTTGCTTTCTCGGATATAGAAAGATGGCTAAAGCTGCAACCATTGATGTACCTAGAGCGCCTGCTAAAGGATTTCCAGCATAAGCCCCCGTGAACCAAGCAGGAGCGGCGGGTAGATAATGAGCCAAACCTCCGAGATTGACGACTGAAAAGGCAGCTACGATACCAGCATGTATTCCAATAGGCAGACTTAAATCGCCACCCATTGCTGAACGAGCGCCCGCCAAGGAAATGGACAAAAACCACAGACCCACCATTGCTGGCGGAGACCTGTAGGATTCCAAGTACTTGTGAGTATATGTGGGGTTATCCTTTGGAAACCTGGTAATTAATATCATCGATGTAAAGAAAAAAGACAACACACAGGCATACTACTTACCAATGTACGACGGCGAAGACAAGAGACGAGAGCAAAATTCCCCAGTGATAGCCCAAGTCCACAGCAACTTCTTCTTGTAACCAGGCCCTGAAAAGAAGTTCTTCCACGAGGGCTACAATTAGAGCCATAGAGAGAGACTGCCCGATCAGTTGAAAGAACTTCCAGGATGTCAAAATTGCAGTCGCGGCTGGCCCTGGAAATGATGGACTCTCAACCACGATTGAAGCCCAGCTGATTTGAGCGTAACCCAACGCCCAGTTAATGCCATAATACGCTGTTACGAGATTGGCTCCAATTGCCAGCCCGATCCCGACAAACCGTAGCTGGACAACAGAGACAAGGTAGAAGCATGAGCAAGTATTCTTTAGCTCTTCAGTCCACTGTTTGTGCCACCTAATGAGTGGAGAGCAGTGCGTATTCAAGTGATCAGAACCAGCAGGCAGATGCGAATCCTAAGATCAACTCAAGTCAGCTCGAAGTCCCACTCGAGGCTTCACTTGGAAATAGAGCCAATACGAATTTTCAACCAAACTAATCTTCTTTGGGCCTCTTTTTCCGACTCTAATGCAAATTCTTTTTCATGAACATGCGAAAAGTTTAATCATCCCTTTGCTTCTCCTCCGAGGGGTTAGGCCAACGGTATGATCTTCTAACTTCACCACTGCATATGATCGGCCAAAGTACAAGCACACCATTTTGAAATCCTGAACTAAGTGAGCGGCATTACCTTAGCGCGTGAGAGCAGTTCTAGTCCGTAAGAAACTAGTGGACGATCGTAACCACGGACGCGCTTGCCCCATATGGTTATCAAGATGAACACAGCACCATAAAGGCCGATACCAGCCGCAGCATCTGCTACACCGTTTGGGGATTTCGTAGCCCACTGTTGTAGCAAAGTGGGGAGCAGAGGTACTAAGACTGGCGTCCACAATAAGAGAGCCATTCCCAGAAAACCAAGAAGCCTGCAGATACCAGGTAAATGAGATTCAATATAAAGTTTCAACGTGAACCCACTCAACATTAGTGTTAAGAGTATACAGACCTGCCGCACCGGATACCGTCATCTAGCTGTAAACCCCAAGCACGAGACAAACTGCGAGTGTGCTTGGGGTTTCGTTAAGGGACATCTGGTGCTTATGAATGCAGACTGCATCTATATAAAAATTCAGTACCATGAGAATGACCAGTGTTTGTGTCAAGTATTCAAGTACCTACCTTTGCTGCAGCGGACGATCTTTAATGCGTAAAAAACCAAGGAGACGATCAACAAGACTCATCGCACCACGCAAACCACCCCAAAGGAGAGCAACCTTTCCAACAAGCGTTAATATTCCACCTCTCTGACCAACTTCAGCGAGCATTGCTACTAATCTGCAATCACAGCATTCCACCCTTCAGAAGAATGATTTACGCAAAGTGAAAGAAGACAGAAGCTCGGAGTTGAATTCAGTACCATTATACAGCTGCAGGTGTAACAAAAACCTGATGTCCTACGCTCACCCACTGTGCCACAGCTAACGGCAGTCAATCAGAAATATCAATGCTCTCGGTCGAGAACGGACCTATCTTGATCAACTTGTCCGTCTTCTTTCTTCGGTACTACTGGAGATACCATGGATATGGCTTTTTCTGCAATCTCGGGGACAAGCCTGGATTTACTATTCCCGTCACCAGAATCCTGAAAACCCTGCGCTTCACTCCCATCAGATTCAGTATTTTCAGATGAGTGACTTTGCTCGCTGTGAACTGCTGTACTCGCCTGACTCTGGCTTGCTACAGCCGCGGTTGCTCCCATAGCTGCTGTTATTGCCCCCATAAGCTTTCCATTGGCGGGGCCTTTATCGTCTTCCAAGTCGTGCTCTGAATCAGTCTGGGTTATGCCCTGTTCGGCTCCGACGTTTCTTTCCACTGAGCTTGAACCTTTCTCCGACGAGTTTTCAGTCCAATCTTGCTTGAGATTTACTCCAGAATGGTCCTCCAACACATGGCCCGGAGATTTTTCAGAATCCAACTCCTCTGAAATTGAACTCGTTTTTTCTGACTCTGATGAACCTGTCAATTCAGCATTTTTCTCTTCGTCGTGGTCATCTGTGACTATGAGAAATAGAGCACCGAGAGCTGCGAGTACGACGCCCACAAGCACTCCAAATGGAATTAAACTACCCAATGTCGTTGTGCTACCAAGTACTGTGCTAAGATTTCGAACTATGTTGTTTCCATTCAAAACTCCGAGCTTCCCAGTAGAGTCTGATTGTAGACTCCCCGTCTTTCCACCTCCTTCCCCTCCCACTTCCCTGTCTGAGGCCATGTCAAGAATAGTTTCTTGACCTTGCTTCACAGCTTCTGAAACTGCGTGGGCAACTTTAGATAACTCTGCCTCGAAGTCTAAACCTAGAGCGTCCATTCCAGCACCTCCAACTCGTCTCACCACCTCCAACTTCAAGGCATTCATCACAACATCTTTGACCACATTGTGTTTTTCCTCGCCGGAGTTCGTATCATTGCTATTTGCGAGTTTAATTTTATCTGCCTCCAGTACCTTCTTCGCATTGTCTTCATCTTCTCGGTCGATCTCGGCAGCCATTGCGTCAAGCCTACTCTCATTACCGTCATCAGAGACGTTTGACGAGTGACGTAGATCTCCAACAGGAGAAGTTTGAGCCTGATTTGTGCTTTCCTGTAGAACTGATATTGAACGCTGCGCCAATTGCGGCTCATCATATTCGCTCACATTGTGATAATTCCGTGCTTTGTCCATGTTCACCAGTCCCAATTCTGAGCTTCCAACATACTTCTGCGGGACCTTGTCTTCAAACTTTCGAGCGTCGCCGTTCGAATGTAAAGATCCATTTCCTGATGGCCCAAGTGAGCCGTTCTCTTCAGACTGCCCATCTACTTCTGGACCTCCTCTAACTCCATGCGTCTGTACTATTTGACCTGCTGAATTCCTAACACGATCCAGGCTTCTTGTGCTCCCAAACGGCCTCTGACTGCCTCCTTGCGACACAGCTGTTCCAACTCGTTCGTCTTTCGACACTTCGTTGGTTCTTCGTTGGTCCACTCCCTTGTCATGCTCATCATCTGACTCAGAATCACTAGAGTCTTCCTTCTCGAAATCGGCTACTGTAGTAGAATCACCAGTCTCATGAGTTTTCCCGCTCGACCGGGACTTTTTTGCCTCTTGCTCTTCATTCTCTTTGGGAGTAGGATTTTTCTCCTCGGGCGACTTACCCTTTTCGAGCTCGTCGAGAACGTTCTCAACAACACCAAAGACATTCGTAACTGCCATTTGAGTGGCGTCATCAAATCCAGTCAGGGCCTGCAGAGCTTGGCCAACCGAAGGAACTGGAGGAACCTGATCAGGAACTGGAGGTTGTGGTGGAACAGGAGCAGAGACAGTATTCTCTGTGGCAGGGGCATCATTCTGTGGTTTCTGCTCAGCCCCTTCATTAGAAGAGGGACTTGCCTCACCTTTGGAATCATTAATGTCTGAAATCTGGCCAGATGAATTCGAATCCTGCTTAGTCGGCTCATCTTTCTTCTGTTCGGATTCGCTCGTGGCGGCTCCTGGTTGTTCTTCGATCTTCTTGTCACCTTCCTGAACTGACGCCTTCGAAGAGTCTGCATTCACCGAATCGCTATTTCCCACTTCCCCTTTGTTTCCCGAGGCATGTGTTCCTGCATCGCCTTCCTTTACGTTTGCAGTGGCTTGTCGGTTTGTTGAAGAGTCATTGCTTTCCTTTTCAGCAGCTTTGTCTTCTGAATGTCCACTATTGTGAGCCTTCTGCTCATCATGGTTGGAGACGGTATCTTGAGCTTGTCTAGAACTATCTTCGGAACTCTCGTTAGACGCTCCGTCCTTCTTGATATCATCTGTGCTCTTGCTAACATCAGCATTAGCCTTAGGAGCATCCTTCTTCGTGTCGTCATTCATCTTGTTGTCACCCTGTCCCCCCGTATCCTTATTCGAGTCAGCACTACTCTTCCTCTCATCAGAACCCGTCTTCGCAGGAGATTGCTTCTCCGCACTGCTTTCCGAACTTTCATGCACTGAGCTGTCGCTGTGAGTCGAACTGTCAACTTTCTTGTCGTTGTCGCTGCCCCTCTTCTCTGGACTTTGACTTTCCGCCAAGCCGTGATCACCATTGGAATCTCCTGGTCTAGCAGTTAGTCCCGCAAGCTTGGCTTTCAGACTCTCTGTTAGTCCAGAGGGGATCTGAGGAGCGGGAATTTTGTCCCCAAATCCAGCCGTCTTCAAGCTGATACCTTTGGCTTGAACGGCTGCTGAGACAGCACCAGATATCTTCCCACGTACATCTTCCGGGACAGCTTCTTGCAGAGCACCCACAAGACTCTCACCCCTCCCAACAGCTTCCACCACCTTCGTCAACCACCGTGTGTTAAACCCCAGGAAATGAGAGAAAATGCTTGTCCCTCACCAAAACGGCCAAGATACTATGAAACCAGCAGGGAATCATCACAACTCTGCAGAAAAAAGTCACTGCAGAAGTCCGTAGACGTCAAAACTCAAAAACCTCGAGATAGTGTATTCACCTGTTGTTTTTGTTGAGCTGAAAGCGTGCCAGGCATTGTGACATCTAAAACTTTCATAACACTCTCTGCAGCTAGCTGCACCTGGCCTGTTTCGACCTCCTCGGGATTCGCCTCTTCCCCCTCAGCAACATCGCTGGTTGTTGTAAGTTCAGCACTTGTTGTCTCTTCATCGCTTTTGGCGGGATCATGTGCCGGACTTTTGATTGCATCTCCTGAACTTTGAACGATCACTGCGTGATCTTGCCGAGATGCTTCTTCGGACCCATCGTCTCGATACGGCTTTAGTTTACTGGCTTCGGCAGGCGTCGTCGATAGAGAATCCTAGATCACATCGTACTGAGGTCAGCATTATGTACAATTATGAAGTGGGACAGAGTCAAGTTCCTAGCAATCCTCCAGGTTCACACCAAATGATCTCCTCGTTTCGCTCTAAACTAGGATCGGTTTTGCTCGTGCTGATGATTTGTTACCTGCTCGTGCACCTCCGAGTGCTCCGACATATCAGAAACATCGCCAGTCACATCAATAATATCACTGTCGACCATGTGTGATGCATTGACAGTGCTTGTGGTAGCCGGCTTCGAAACTGGCATTGATGATGCGGTAGAGGTTACTTGATTTCCAACAGAACTCCACTCCTTTGTAGGCCTTATTGTCAGGTCCACAACATTCGATAAAGGATGTCGCCCTTTCAATAGCGCAACTTCCACTGCTGCAAGCCACTGCATGAACACGGGTTGGTACAAACTATTTGAGCAAAGTACAAAAGTTCGGCTCTGAAAAACACCTTGTCTGTGCAGATCCTATATCCAATACAATGTGCGCATTACCTCCAAAGATGTTTCGTGGGTCCTCTCCGATGCTGTGCCAGGAAAATCTGGTCCTTCCGAAAAGTCTTTTATATCGGAAGGATATACCAGCAGAGTTGCGTAGGGATTTTTCACAATCGCCTCTTGTGATAGAGATATCTGGTTTCCTGAGTAGTCTTGCACATGCTGTCACCACAACAATCCAGAATTCAGTTGAAAGGCTACTAGCAGCACCAATATAATTGGTATAACGATACTCCATGAGCAGCCGAAGTGGCTCATTAAGCGACGAAAAGAACCAACTGAACATTCCATAGAGGAGAAGCTAGGGAGGCTGATAACAGATCCTGCAAATTTCGGTATGTGCTAGATACAACAGTCAGCGAGTAGTAGTAAAAGGACGAGCCGTCCACATTCCGAGTAATAAGGTCAATCATTCTCATTGAACGTATATTGGCGAATACTTCTTTCGGCAATAAATAAGCTCTCGCGGAATTCCAATTTCTAGTCTTCGACAAAGTTAACAAGCTTATAGTCCTAGGCTGATGCCCCAAACTAGACTGCCACTTGGATTGCTGTTCTGTTCGGACTGAATGTTGTAACGTTCATATGTCAAAGTTACAATCTTCTGGTGTCATTTGACATTTCCAAAAATTGGCTATTTACAGATGACTCGGCCCCGCTGCAGGAATGTGTTTGACAATCAAACCCTGGAGAACTACACTGTCCAGGTGAAGCTTCTGTTCTTTCGGATCCATTAACGTCGATTTGAGAGCAGAATATGTAGGAATACTTCATACCTGTATACATAGTACAGGAATCTGAACCCTCTCCAGCGTCGCTTGACTGCTGACATCTTCATAAAACTTCTCAAGACTATCATATCCGTGAGCGACCCTCGATATGCCTGTCTCGAACTCAGAAAGAGATGTGGCTGCCAGGCTTCCACTTACATCAAACCCCTTCCTATCGCCTTGAAATAGTTTCTGTTGAAAAGGAAGCAGACATATCAACACACGGTTCAACAAGAAAACAATTGTTCAATCGTCGATCTTGCGGGTCTAAGCACATAAGCATCCTAAGAGTGCATAAGCCAGACTCTGACCCTTATTCTTCAGTCTTTGCTTCTCGGGTTATAACAGAACTCTCGTCACGAGACTACGATGCTTTGACCTTCATCAAGAGCAGTACCTACTCGCGTTTGCAATATTGATATGTGTCTTTAACATCATAGCTAAATTGCATGAGGAACTAATATTGAGTATGTTGACACACATTCGAGGAGTGCCAATTCTTCAACTGATAAGAGGATCCAAGTCACTCGTGAGGGGAGACTCCATATGACAGGCTAAACCTACAACAGATGAGTGTACCTTGTTATTGTCCAATATTTGTATCAGACCTTTTGTCAGTGCACGGTCTAAGCTGCTCCACCGAGAGGGTGGTGCCGAATGGATATCCTTATCCAGGCTGAACGGATTGTCGATGCAAACAGCTGCCGTGAGGGGAGTCGCATTTGCTTCTTCTCCAAGATACTTTGCAAGCATGTTTGCGCCAAAACCCCATCCTATCGCCATTATAGTTGCCCATGGTCTTCGCTTTGCAACATATTGAGCCAATAGACGAACATCATCACTATCCGCTGCTGAGAAAATCCTAACCACAAAGACAGTAATAGCAATCTCAGTCTCCTTCGGCAAGAGGCATTAGTTAGCTTCACAAATATTGAGAGACAAGCGATGCTAGAGGTGGGAGAAATTTCGATTGGAAGTTATGAGAAGTACATGAGGGGGATAAAAATCCACTTCTTCTAACTAGACACGGCCGAGTAGGACAGTCAGATCAGATAGTGGTGTCAAGCGAATTTCTGCACAGACTTTATTACTTGCAGCCAGATCAGAAGATCCGGTCACCAACTTCAAAAAAATGAAAGGTGCAGATTTCACAAAGAACTTCGAGGATGAATATGGCACTTGCCTTGGACTTGTTAGAGGAGATCCACCACAACCTCTGGGATTTAAGACGATCGGGAAGTAGCCTCGCTGTTCTGCAACCCGCGTGAACTTGCAAATTCCTTCTTCTTCACTACCTTCAGTGCTTCCGGGGATGATGACTAAAACATTCTCCAGCTCCTTGTTCTTCTCCAAGTCGAGATGTGTGGGCCAGTCCAAAGCAACTGTTCCTCCGTCATCGGCATGTAAACAGAGGCGTTGATACTCAGGTGGGTCTATCACCTGCTCAGATTCCGATTCAGCATTCCTGCTATACCTCCGCTCTCCCAAGGGAAGAGCTAATGACGGACAGCGAGCGGCCACAAATTTGTTGAAGGGCGTCGGTTGTGACAAGTTGAGCCAATTTGAAAAACCTTCAGCACGTGCGGACTCTGATGTTCGGTCCGACTCCAAAAGATTTTGCCGTTTGCCTTCACTCTCTCTTGACGCTTGAGCATAAAAAGCTCCTGAAATTCCTAAAATTGTGGTAACTAAAGTGAAAGAGTAAAGCACACTGTTGGATGATACGTCGGTAAAGATATCAGACAATAAGAAGGTCAATTTGGGAATAAAATCTCCTTCTAACAAGAAACCAGTAACCAGAGGACTCCATAGAGTCTCTGAAGGCACGACGCCTCCTGCTGAGGGTACTGTCAAGGTTCTCCTCTCGGATTTTGAAAGAGTTCGTGATGAATTGGATCTTCTCGGCCAGGAGCTGCCAAAGTGAGAACTTGAAAGATAAGCCAATGATCTAGTATTTCTTGAACCGCAGAAACTGCGAACAATCGACAGCTTCGAGTATATAGTTAGGGTGAACGAATTCTCAGCTGTACTCAGGCTTCTGCCTAAAGATCCACTTCGGTTAGCGAAATGCCGTTTGGAGATGAACCCGCTCAGATTCTGTGGATAACTCAAAGGTTGTGATTTACTCGTCTTGGTGGAGCTTAAGGAGAAAGAATTACTGGCATACATGTTGACAAATTTGGTGGTAGATGAAACCGTACTGAACCTGTGAAAGAAGAATTTAGCTTTTTTGCTTGCGTTCAGCTGCTAACTGAGCTCAGAAAACTTCCTTCCGCAATCGGTGACGGCCTTGTAGTATCTTCTAGCACGTCTGATTGCACCTGCATGAGGTCCTGGCAAACTCTGTAGGCACACTCCAGTGCAGGTCACTGAGAGAAGTTGTTGAATTTGAAAAGTACCGTGGAAACTCTGTTCTCCTCAGAATTTCGAGCCCCGAAAACGTTCCAGGAAAAAAATTAGCGGCAGCTGGAACTTCATGCCTTGCCATGCTCCCGCCAGGTTGTTCTAAATTGTGAGGGGTGAAATCACAGCAGAACTTCCTCGTCCCCTCGGGCCACAACCGGACCCATACTTCCGACGACGCCTGAAGGGCGTCGTTGCACCTTCGCAACCTCTGAAATACATCATCGAATTGGTCGAAAATTCTCGACGACCTCATCCGTCCGAAGCTCAAAATGCCTACCAACCAGCCAAATTGGCACCGTCAATTCTCAAAGGCGACCACTGGAATCGTGTCGACAATTTGCAGCCGTTAACGTGGCACTGTCCGAAAAGTGCCTCTGCACCAAATTCTACACCATTTTCCTCTTCGACCAAAGTAAAACCCTAACCAGAGAGTAATATTGACACCGTGGAGCATACTTGTCCATTTACCCTCAACTGCTACTTTTACGCCTTTATTCAAAATTCTGTTAACTCTGATTTGGCCCGAAAGGCATCTCTCCTCTCTGGTCGAGAGCTGAATGCCACTTGGGGTCAATTTTGTCCATCCGTCCGTATGTCTTGGGCATCATTCTGTCGAAAGGAGCCCTGAAGTGATTAAAGAATTTCATCTCACGCCTTACTCCGACTCTTCGATCGGTGTCCTAGTTCAGATGGTCTGAGCCTCTCGAATCTTCGGTCGTAGCCAGGGGGAACTTGTGGCAGTTACGCCCATGCTGTAAACAAGCACGAATATTCTCTGATGCGGCCAAGTCACGGAAAGACGTTAATACTTAAACTGGAAATAAGCAAATAAATATTGAACGAAATTATATTGAAATCGTGAAGCAAGTCAGTTAGCGGTCGTAAAGGCCTTGTTCTGGAAGAAGATGAGAGAAGAGTGACCTGACCTCGCATGGGCTGTTCACGACAGCTTCCAAAAGCGTTCATTCCTGCCCCTGATCACAAACCAGTCAGTGCCCAGCGGGGAAGAGCCCATCATTCGACACGTTTGCTTCCCCGTCCAGAGTCAAACACTCTCGAGGATTTTACCCACAGCGAAACTTCTGACCGAGGAAAACCAGCAGGGGAACCAGCCTTCGACACTTGTCGATACCTGGGCATCCCATGAGCCTCGATAAAAACAAGCACACATGGACTGTCCACGTGGCAGAAGGGACGTGGCTGGGACACACGTCCGTTGGACGCTTTGCACTTGCGAGCACGGATACGGCCGCGAAAGGACCACAGCAGTCGTACAGTACAGTGCCCTTCTGTACTGTGCTTCGAGAATCGAAGGAATTGATGGAGCAAGTGCGAGCGGAGTCTTGGGCACACTGGTCTTTACACCTCATACGATATTCTCGATATGGACGACAGATCCTTCCGGCATTCAAGTCGGGCTCGAGTATTTTCCTTCTGATGATTTGTCAGCATGAGACCTCCTCACCTGCAGGCCTCAGTCACATAACTCCAGGTGCAGATCGACACAAATGAACTAACCACAAGTAAACACGTAAGCAACAGCGAACTGCTGCTGCTGCTGCTGCTTAGCCTTGTCGAGATTTTAGATCTCGATCGCATGGGAGCTCACGGTCGCCCGCCTTTCGATCGCAAGAAGCGTATGAAGTGCAATGAGCAGCTCCTAGGAACGCGTGTTATGAGAAGGTATGCTTGTTTCATCAACCCCAACTGAGCTTCTTCATTGTGAAGTGTGGACTCCTCGACCTCTCTTTCACCGTCGATTGGGCGGGCTACCCTCTTGAACATTGCTACTTAATTACTTGCGCCTCCTTGACCCTCAATTAGACCTCCCCTCAGGTGGCTTTGATTCATATCGTGCTGCCAGCCTTTCAGTCCCTTCTTGTACCAAAACTCTGTCTTGGTATAAGATGGGACTTGCATGAAAGGATCTAAAGAGACAAGACAGACAGACGAAAACGATAAAACCTCTGGGAAAGGATGTGCATCGTACTTCAGTGTGAGAACTCGTTTTGGAATTTCTACTGGCTTCATCCAAAAGAAAGTTACAAACGGCTGTCGGAAATTACGACGCGAAATTTCTCTGGTGCCGAGATCTGATCATAGCTTTCAACCTTTGCGCAGTATATCTCGAAAGGAAGACCACTGCTCGCACAGTAACGAGAAGAGAGAGAAGAAGGCGCTTATTCTGTGGTGCAAGCTTGTTACGATTCGATTCTCGAGGAATCAAGAAGGAGAAGCAGGACTCGGACAGAATAAAAATATTCAACTCAATGCCGGAAAGCCGTAATCTGGCATACTGGACACGCCCTGTGCAATAAACGAAAGGCTCAAGATGAGACGCACTGCGACTTTGCGAAGTTTAAATCAATTTTGCACTTGTCCGGGGTACTCACTCACTCACGTGGTGGAAGACCGTCAGTTTCCAGGGCCCAGAGGAGGAGGTGGCCACGGACCTGGGCGTGGGTATTTCCTTCGCCAGTGGATTACGAGGCTTATGGCTACGTCGTTGGTTTTTGGGGCGGATCTATCTCCTCCTCAGGACTCCGACTTCTCGCAATACGTCTTTTGCCTTCTCACTTATATCATCTCAGTCGTCTCAACTCTCTCTCTCTCTCTCTCTCTCTCTCTCTCTCTATACTGTTTCCAGTATAGTAGGTGTCAGTCTAGCCACACTAGCGACGAGTTCATGTTCATTCTTCTCACTTTTCTACGCTCTCTTTCCAGTTCTCAACATCAGTATTCGGCTGAAGAAACTCCATCGCCTGCACTGCCCTTCAGTGGAGGCAGCTGGGGGCTAGAACTCGTTATCATAGATTTTGCTTCACCATATACATGCATCCATGAAACTGACACTGTTTCTCACGAAGCCCGAAAGAGAGGACTTCGAACGCTTGTTATGATCGCGTGTACACGCCACCCGGAATTGCGTGCGACCTCGATGGCAATCAAGACATGAACAAATGCTTAATGTCTTAAACATGGGGGAATACCCTTGGGTATCCCCCAAGATGCTCAACCTCGGGCATGGTTGATGAGCACGTCTCGAATATCAGATTAAACCACTAATACAGCGAAATGTCGAATACCCGTATCTGAATTTTGCTCAATCGGAGCTTCAGAAGGTCGAACACATGCGAGCCCCGAGTCTCAGCGAAATAAGATGCGCGGACCGGTCACCAGTTTTATACGAACTGGAAAGGACGGCATACGAGCGAGGAGCAAATAGCCGGCTGCTGATTGGAGACGCACCCATTTGTCTTGGATTCTGCATAGCCTCGCTCGCATCTGAGAATCTTCCGGACACAAGGACGATCGTAGCAAGGAAAATAGTGCCCCCGTCTAGGGACCATGACAACAGGAAGACACCAAGATTGTAGAATCCAGTACGATGGGAATCAATGAGGAAGAGAACGCTACGATTTTTCCGACGGACCGATTTAAAGTGGCCTTATGTCGTGGACGAGGGAGGTATCGAACATCGGGATGCACAACGGGGGGTCGGTTACAGACTGGCAGCACAACTTGACCTCGACGATCAACAAACGCTGTAAGGCATGGGAGGCTGGATTTGAGGAGTCGGGCAAGTGAGGACGAGTGAAACCATGAGAGTCAGTCAGTGGTGGACGACGTTGCGCCGTCGTTCTGCCGACTGCTGCTACTTCTACTACTCGGACGACTGCTGCACGGTAACATCGTCCTCGACGACCTTCGTGCTTGTGGCATGATCTTTGCAGAATTTCACAGCTGCAAGACGAAGAGCAAAGAAAGCGCTTTCGTCGTGGGGTGGATCACGCTTCATCTGCCGAGTCCAGTCCAGCCGCTCGACAATCCATCCATCAGTGCAGATGTAGTGACTCCTCGAGTTGCTCTGTGTTCGGTGGTATCCTTGACATGAATTTGGCCAGCTGACTTTGGCATCTCACCATCTGTTATAACAAGAAGTTGGTCAATTGTTTCAGCTCTGTGCAAGAAACAGACCCCGAATAAACGCGTGTGATGTCGATCGTTCCCCAATCTACCGTGCCACTTCCATGACAATTCCATGATACAGTTCGGCTTTCACTCAACTTTCGATGCTTGAATCAGATAGTTTCCGTGAGAAGAACTCACGAAGAAACATAGACTAGAAGCAATAAACGACAAAGCTAGCGATAAGGCCCTGCTCAAAGGTCAATAGGAAAGGGAGGACGTTTGAGTGCAGAGAGAAGTTCTTTGCATGTTCGGCAAACTCCAACGTACCGCTGTTGGTGTGTTCCACCTTTCCGAATGAAAACGAAAACGATGGAATCAAGAAGATGCCCACGTCTGTCATGAATTTTGGCTGTCTTTTATGGCTCCGATAGAAGACCAGCGGCTTGGATCCATCGAAGCAGCTGAAATTTTTCGTGATTCACTAAAAACGAACAAGAACATGGGCCTAGTTTCTGAGGAGTAGATGAATGAGGTCAAGATCGTTCTTGGCGCACAAGGTACTCGATCGGCATCAGGTGATTACGAGAGAATTCATGAAGAAAATGTCGCGAGACTGTCATTCACCAGAACTCATGATATCATGTGCCTCTGCTAAAACTCGACGACACCGATAGTACCGTAGATGTGAAGTATGGTCGCAACCTTCGAATCTGACCCATATTCTTGAGATCAGCTCAGCCCAGCTCAGAACTTTGTAGAGACGCTTACATACTCCAGAATCAAATGCGGGTCTCGATCTTCCAAGAAGACGAATGTTCTTCTATTTCCCTGATTCCAAATCCAGAAACTTACGCACAGATCAATACTCTGTGTTTGCAACGAGGACTGACAGATTGGGACTGGGACTGTGACGTCTACACATTGCAAGGTCAATCAATGCCTTCAGTGCTGCTGTATAGGAGGGAGTAAGCAACTCAGGTTTCGACTCGTTTCCATTTCACTCTGGTAGGAAGAGTGAAATGGCTGAACTCCAACGCAAAGTGGGGCCGTTCATATGGACTTCGATAGCTGCAGCCCTCGTTTTCATGGGCGTGTACTACATGCGTCTCGATTTCGCATTCATCGACGGGGACGCGGCCTACGAGAAAGAATACAAGACGGACACCATCGCTTACCAGAAATCGAACGGGGAGACGGGCACACTCCGAGACTGGACGTCGGAAGGGAAGACAGAAGACTCGGAATCTGATGCAGGTCCGGTTTCAGACGAGCTGCTGATTGCAGTCATCCATCGATATCTGGACGAAGGGGCGGAGGATAAGAATAAGTCGCCGAGGCGGCAAAGATCGTGGCTGCGCAGGAGGTCGGAAACACGAGGACTCGACGCTTCTGCCAAGGAATCACTGAAGAGGGCTCTCGAGGATCTGCAAAAGCTGCAAGAGGCTCATGCGCCGCCGGTCCGGCCCGAGGCCGAGGGCAGGGGAGAGTGGCTGGCGGCAGACGAAGATGGCGCCGAGGTCGGAGAGTTCAAGTTCAGAGAGTATGGCGAGCTGAATCTGCGACGGCTGGTCGTGTTCAGCGCGTACCGATCGTCGCCGACGGAATTCACAGTGGTCACTCTGAGCCCCAGCGTGCTGCAGGCGGCGGGCGGGCCTGTGCACGACGCCTGCGCCTGGCTGCCGGATGGCAGCACCACGTCGCCGGGCCGCTTCTCGTCACTGCTCGAGATGAACTCGACGGGGCGCATGCCGGACCCGAGGGGCACCCCGATCCTTCGCTACGTGCAGGACACGCACGGGCGGCCCTACGACACATTGGTCATCCGCTGCGCCTTCCCGGAGGCAGTGGGCGCCGACGGATCGGGCGGCTTCCTCTACCTCAATGTCTCGTACGAGCTGGTGCCCGTCTTCCACGAGAGGCGTCGGCAGCTCGAGGCCGCAGCTTACGAGGATGGCGCTAGGTTTCGGCACCAGTATGCCTACTGCTCGGCTCCGGTGTGGACGAATTTGAGCTCGGCGCACGTGAAGCAATGGTTTATGTATCATCACACGCTGACCGGGGGCGACATCCACTACTTCGTGTACGACAACGTGGGGATCGACGAGGCGACGATGGCCGTGCTGCGGCCTCTGATCGAGGCCGGCTCGTTGACGCTCATCAACATGCACCGAGAGCGGGACTTCGACACCTGGTACCACACGCAGACTCTGGCCATCAACGACTGCCTGAACCGAGCGAGGGTCGTGGCCAAATGGGCCATCTTCTGGGACTTCGACGAGTACCTACACTTAGCGCCGCCGCTCAGCCTCGCCGCGCTGCTGGCGCAAGTCGAAGCGCAGGGAGCGCCATGGGTGTCGTTCGGCAACATGTGGTACAGTCGCATGTACTGCGCCCCAGAGTCGGAGTCGGCCGAGCGCGAGAGCGAGTGGGCGGTTGAGAGGATGCTGTACAGGCTCGAGGGGCCAGTGTGCGGGATCGAGAATATGAGCCATGTCTGCGAGGGCGAGATGGGGCACCGCAAGTGGATCGCCAATCCGAGGCAGGTGAAGGTCGGGGCCATCCACCGAGCGCTGGAGGTGGCGGGGGGGACCGGCGTGACTCTGGCCACCGAGGTCGCCCGGATCAATCACTACAGCGGACTCGTTGCTCCGAATTCTGCTGAAATCGACTGCCTCATAATCAAAGACCCCGTCGAGGTCAATGACTCGAAAGTGGACGGATGGTGGATCAAGGACGCCGAGCTCGCCACCTTCGCTGCATCGTTGAAATTCCCTGCGCAGCTCTACGATGTTTTTCACGCCTCCGCAAACGAGGGCTAGAGCTTCGTCCCGGGGGAAAGCTACGATCTCCTTCCTCCTCCTCCTCTTCCTCCTCGTCCTACGTCCGCCATGCCTAATCTAAGGCTCGACTCCTGCCTGTCCTCGTTCGTTCGGAATGGCCAGTGTGCAAGTGGGAAACAGCAACCCGCGGTATCATAACTAACGGTATGAGATCGCTAGACACGCTTGCACCGTAGCCGAGCATACGGCAACAGAAAGTCATAGTTCTCGTGATCGAACCAGTGCTGCACCACTTAATTGCCACACCACATTCAAGGAACAAGTACAAGCTCACCGCCAGGTACCGGCTTCAGGGTGAAAAGTACACTTCAGCTGAAGCCGTCCGTCATCTCCAATTATTGCAGAGTAGTCTCAGACTCTTGACCCCGAGCCCTGAGTCCTCGACACACGCCAAGCCACGCCATCTAGAGCGTAAATCGGTCTACTATGAACCTCTAACCCGAAAGGGAGAGCTCGTAAAACCCCAGAAACCACACAACTGCTAGTAATTGTGAAAAATTGTGGGCTTGGCCGTGCAGCCAAGCGTAAACTTCTCAGATGTACCATACCATATCCACGTGCACGAGGTGGCTGCTGAATGCAAATTTTCCCTATGAATATGGCCTAGTGTTTGCATGAATGTCAAACGTTTCGGCACATGGAAGCGGCTGCCGCCTAAGCTGCAGATTTGCATCCCCGTGATGAGACTCTTGGTCGTGTGAATGGGGCGGGGCCTTTCTCTCGCGTATTCGGTTGCGGGTCGAGCATGCGGGACGCAAGTAGTAGAGAGTAAGTAGCATGGCAGACAGAGAGGGAGAGGAAGAGGAAGAGAGGAGACATACAGACACACACAGACAGAGGGATGCAACTATGAGTCTGAGCACTTACACTGCACTTGGCATCGCTTAGTCGAGTAGATCATGGTCTGCGGCTGGACTGAGGATCATAAACATCTACAGTAGATGACGCCTCAGCAGCTGTCAGTTCAATAAATCGTGGTCTGTGCCTTCTAAGAGGATCATAAACATGTACTGTAGTCGGCTAGGAGACGTGTGCATAGCCTAGGAATACGCATGGACCAGAACTACCGTCTTGGCGTTATGATTTTCACTGTTCCTGAACCTTGGTCAAATCAAACACTGTGCAGTTGGAAAGTATATGCACAGTATATCTGGCCAGAAACAATAGTTGGCAAGAGCGCCTGGCCAGCCAGAAGCCTTTCTAACAGCCGCTTTTCTCTCAATCTGTTATCTGAGGATCTAGCAGCATCAGGCATTGCAGTCGAATGCAAAAGCAATTCCAAATATAAAAGAGGCATATGCAGTTCAATTTTTATGAAACCGCGTAAGGTGGAATCTCACACGAAATACTTGGAGTATTGAATTCCACCTGAAGGTGTGGTAGGTAGCGGTGACTAGAACAAGCCCCAACCCCTCCCGGGGAACAAGTGCGATGCTGATAGACACACACTGGAAAACAGTACTGGTCGATGGGAAAAAAACCCTATATTTGGTGAGCTTCTCAAGCGAACATAAATACAGTCATATAACCGATGAATCGGATGTGCAAAGAAAGTACAACGCAAAAAGACTGAGCAGTGCTGGTTGCGTACGTATTTTTCGATGTGTCTTTTCACTCGTTGTCTGTGTGATAGCCTCGTGCAACTTTCTCGACTCGACTCTCCTGAGTCCTGTGCACACTTTGTTCCAATAGATGCATGAATAGAGAAAGGAGTCAGCTTTTGGCATTTGGACACATGCTGGAGGTCGAGATGTCAAATCCCCGCGAAGAGGCTCCCAGATTAGATGAGTTCCACAAGCTGATATCACAAAGGCAACTTTATGAGCAGAATCTGAAAGATGCGAGGGCTCTCATGGTAGAATACGAGAGGAAGGTCCAGGAGTGCAGGAGAATTGAAGAGGAGCAAGGAGACCTCATCAGGAAGATACAGATCGCAGAGGATATCGAACTCGAAGAGAAGCAGAATATCTTCAAGGAGCTGGACACGTACAAGATGCTCAGCATGTGCCATATCTGCAATACAGAGCCCAGAAGCGCCTTGGATTTACCATGCATGCATTACATTTGCTGCGAAGACTGCCTGGACATCTCGAAGATCTGGAGCGGCGTTCAAAGCTGCCTCATGTGCAGAGTTAGAGACCACGACACCGATCAAACCGACTCCGAGATTCAGAATTCCGATTAGTTTCTTAGCCGTGGCCTGGCAGTCACGAAAAACTGTAGATCTCTTCTATTTCTCGAGGAATAGGAATTAGCTTCGTTGGCCTTTACGATTATTGCTCTTGCTCTTGACGGTCTTTGGGTACCGATTCGATGTGTCTATATTTCTCTGATCTACTCAAAGCTGATCTTCAGCGCGACGTTCTCTGTTTCCAGTTCTCTCGCGATCCCCGACTCCATGCGTTTCTTTCTCTGAATGTCTTCGACGTTGGCTTCTTCTTTGACACCTTGTTTCGATGACGATTGATCGAGAGCACTAGAGAGGACAGGGGTACGTACCAGTCCCTCGTTTCGCTGCCAAGGTTCATCATGTTCCGAATTCTTTGTCATGTCTCACTCGTGAAGATTTTGTGTGGATTGGTTGGATTTGGTGCTGTCCCTCGTTTTTATCGATCCTTCTCTTGGACGTTCGAAAGAGCTGAAAAAAAAAATTGGTTCCATTGGCTGTATGTTACGTAGTCTGTCTGTGCATTTTCGAGGCGAAATTTTTCAAGGCCCGTAAATTGACCGTTCAACGAAGCTGTGTTTGTGTTTGCTGGCTGTGGCTTCACAGTTGAGAAACTTTCCCTTCTGAGTTGAGAAACTGCGGGGGGATGGGACATGGTCAATGTGGATTATGACAGACATATCTTTGACCTCGGAGTCCAATTACCGCTTCGTTTCAGCTTCCAGTCTTATTTTCACAGGTCCAGAATCAGATCAAAGGAGTAGTCTCGACGAATTGCAGGGATCACCAGATCCATCCGTCCGTCCATCCATCCAGCCAGCCATCAACTCCCTCACTCACTCACTCACTCAGCGATCAATCATTTTCGAAGTCGATCCGTTGGCCGCAGATTCATTCTGAGTTCCTTAAAGCGGCGATGGGCAATTTTCGGGTCCCGACCCGTAGGCCTGTGGACTCGCTCTATGATTGTGATTCAACAGGCCCAGGGCGTTGCGGAACCTTCACAGATCCCGCAGACTCGCAACAGCAGAGATCAATAAAGGCAGCCCTGGACTGCACTGCAAGCCATTATGCGCGACCAAATCTTGCAGTCTGGAATCCACGAAAACAGTCCATGATTGACATTTTTGCGCACAGGCAAGTACAAATCCGCAAGCCAGTGGAGCCACCCACAATCCACTATTCACCAGCTCTCCTCTCGATCCGCAAAAACGTTTTCTGCGCGTTGCAGCTCAACGAGCTCAGCCCAGCGCTCGGGTTCAGCGGCGTGCCCTCGATCTTTAAATGTACGCGCGTATTATATTTCTATTCCTTGTCCGCACCCGCCTACACTTGCTTAGAACGATCCCCATTCTACGCCGTAGGCCCTCCCCATGCGCCGCTCCTTACACGAACATCCTCGCCAATCGCCCTCTCGTACACTGCCTTCTCGCTCTCGGACTCCAGACCCCTCTTCCGCGACGTTCGCCAATCGCTCGAGATCCTATCCAATAACATCAAAGAATTCAACGGCGCCGTCACGATAATACTTCCGTCGCGAAACTGGTGATTGGAGGTAGCTGACTGTGCTCGGACTTCCGCTGCGACGTCCGGGTGACCGGAACGGGCTTGCTAGGTTAATACCGCTTTGCAGTCCGAGGATGTATTGAACAAGCCGAGGCAGAGTTTCCGCTACCGGTCGGCGGCATCTTTGCAGTACATGGAAGCTGGCCATCTGTAAATGGAAGTCCTTCGGTAGTGGAACAATGGGAAGCAGCGCCACTTGGAACTAAACGACAGGGAAGTCCGCAAAGTAATAGCGGAGATTCGCATTAGGAGGCGCGATTAGGCTTAAGCAAAAGGTAAACTAATGGAAAATTAGGTGATAAGCAAGAGAGAGTCGGAAGATTTGCTGGCGCAGCCTGATGCTCTGAGGCTCTGACTGACGATATTCCGCAATGAATGAAGTTATCTTAGAAGGGACTATCATTAATACTAATCTGACGAAATTCTTCTTAATAAATGGTCTTATCTACCGGGGGAGACAGGGAAATGAAGTCCATGTGACAAGGGGCGAACGAGCCCAAGGACGGAGCAGAGGCGAGAGTGAGCAGGAGGACGAGGATCACTCTCAAATCAAGATTGTCACTCCCTGCGAGACCTCGATCAATAACTCGCATTGAATGAAAGGAAGCTCCAAGTCACGGACATAAAGATTTCTTTGAATTTATGTCGTCTTCGGTGTTTGGTAGCCGGTGAGAGTTCAGCTACCCTACGCGAGCTGAGAGCTACTTCACGGGCCTCGAAATATTTGCCAGCGTGAGAGTTCGAAATCGGTAGACCTATGGCCTGTCACCTGGTGGCAAAGTGCAGGCAAGGCCCCAATGCCCCGGACCCGGCCCGGAACGAGCGAACGATGGAAGCGATGCCGATGTAAATGTAAGTTCGTCTTCCATGACTTACAGACATTCTACCCGTACCGTGATTCTAGTTTAGTATGTTGGAAGGTGAATAATTTCACGCAATCTCGGAAGCCATTAACACCCTTATGACAATGCTGCATTACCCGCAGACAAGGTCCATCATGTCCAAGGAAGTGGAACCCCGGAACGTTGAACGTTGCGTGCGTTGAGCTGTTATGGCGGGCTGTAGATCCTGAGGGCGGAGTCCAATTGCTTCGAGCTGCAAAGCGACTTTCAGTTGCTCGGGTTTCCTTGATGTGCACGGGATGGGCGCTGCCAACGGACCTGTTCAGCCATGTCAGAGGCTGAAATGGAGAATTTGTTTCTAGTCTCCGAGAGAGTCTTCCTTGCGGTTCGGTGATAAAGAAGACGCTTCTATGATTTATGACTTTTTGACTCTTTGGCCTCGACATGCGAGCGAGCGAGGAAGCGAGCGGGTTGCATGTTATGGGAGTCAGTCACAAGACGTCTTTTCTTATCTCTGCCCCGATTGCCATAACGAATTGCCGCAATGGCAGAATCGGTTTTGGCCGATCACGTAGAAGATAGTGCTGGGGGCTGTGGGCTGTGGGCTGTGATGGTTCAGATTCCAAATTAAGCGTTCAGCTTGAAACAGTTTTTTGAATGATTGAGGAACCGCCAAAGCTTTCTCCAGAGTCCAGAAACAGGAAAGTATAAAAGTGTGGATTCGCTGGGAAGCCTAATCTGGAACTCACCTCGCTGGAGATGATGAAGAAAGAATCGATATTTCGCGATCCCCGAAAGATTGACATCGGATAGCTGGTCATGCAAAAAGGCGGAGTTTGCCGAAAAGTCATCGTGTAGTCCAAGGGTTGAGTTTATGGGGCTCAGAAACCGAGCGAGAGAACCGTCCACCGAAACTAGCCCGAGACACTACAGTGTCTGCACCTCTGTCCTTGGAACTCTACAACTTTTTGTCACTTTGCCGACTTTCGCAATGCCATGACATCGAAATCTTCCCTCGGGATTTGTCCAGATTTTAAGGTGCAATACTCTACTCTGGTCGGCAGGCACAAAGTCTGTCAACAACTCTGGCGGTGTGTGTAGTTTCCGACCATCTCTCCGAGTCTAGTGACACCAAGGCTTTCGCTGGCTCCTTCCTTCCTTCCTTCCTTCCTTACTTCCTTCCTTCCTTCCTACCTCCCATCATCATCCTTACTTCCGCTGTGTTTGTAGCTTTCACATTTTTGCATTGGGCTTATCAAATATTTCACTTCCCATGGAGAAAGTACTGCTGCTCATCAATCATATGCTTTGCTCGCGATAGTCGTCGTAGCTTCCGATGTGTGCATCGGGCTGGTCAATCTCACCGGGGTAAAAAACTTGCAATCTCACCGGGGTAAAAAACTTGCATCGAGGTCCAGAACTTTTGAGGGGGCCGGGGGCATCGAATTTTCGTGGTCGACGTTTCGGGTCTCGCACTGCTCAGGCAAATGATGGCTATCCTTGGCTCGCAGTGTTTTTAACTGAAATCTTGACTTTAGCTTAAATACCCCTCGGCCCTGATGCTTCTGACCTGCCTTCCCTTGAACAAGAACTTCACAAAGCAAGGGATCGCCGACCCCATAGCAGGCAGCGAGCTCCTCTCTGTCAGGGAAGGTTGAACAAACTGATAAGTTGCGCAGGGGTTTCACTCAAAAGCCCAACAGACTTCTTGCCAGAGAGCTTTGTGTAAAGTTCGACCTTGACGCTCATTCAAACGAGCCAGAGCCACAGTCCGACGGCCGTACAGACAACCAGACAGACAGACAGTCAGACACAACGACAGATCCTTGCCCTCCCTCGGACGCTCCTCACTCGCCAGGACATGGGAAGTCGTTATAGGATTGGGGAAGACTGCTCGGCACCATCCTTCCCACCCGGACCAGAACCTGCCTCTCTGGCTCTCTTCCTCCTTTCCTCCCTCTCGGTCTCAGTAGGACTAGAATAGATAGGTACGACAGAGTGAAGGAGGCTTCATCTCCGTTCTGTGGTCGGAGAAGCATCGATTCATTGTGAGTTGGGAAAATTCGGCGTTCGTCATAATTCCTTGAATCCCCAGGAGCATGGACTTTTCTTCGAGAGCTAGCGGACCGAGAAGCAGCAGACCCTGCTGATGCGTTCGTTTAACTGCTACGCGAGTTCATGTCGAGACTCTGGACGCGGACAGCGCGGGCGAACGGCGTGTGACATCGCATTACGTGCGCTGTCATATTCGCCCGCAGCAAGGAAGTCCCGGTCGCGACGAAGATCCGCCAATGATCCCGAGGAATCGAGATAGGGGGCTGTTCAACTGCTGAAAAGAGGAGAGGAGGGCAGGGAAAACGAGACGAGGCGAGGGAGACGACCGATCAGATCAGATCAGATATGTGTCTCGGCAAGCAAAACTTTTTCTTTATGTAGTGTAGTGAAAGAGGACAAAACACAAGACGTGCGCCCGGGCTTCTACCCATAGACTCAGTGGCCTAGCTGACAAGGTAGAAGAGATCAGCAACCGCAGTGACAAAGTACGGATGACTGCAGCAGAAGACTCTTTGACTGCACAAAGAGATTGTTAACCTACGATCTCTTTTATAAATTCAGCCTTAATCAAGGCACAATGTCAAAAGACCTTCCTTGTACAACGCGAGCAACAGAAGGCGTGTCGTCCATGCTGATCGGCAAAAGGCATGAGGTGAGCCACCGCTTATTTGCAATTTGGACTCGGTGTTAGAATCTAGATGGAATCACAGATGGTTGCTCGAAAACATCTTCGATAGACCATGAGAACTGGCTGACACCAAGGCCGGCTCTACAAATAAAACTCAAATTTACACATTCACAAAAGCATGTGCCACCTATGCTGAAAATGGAGGGTGCAAGGGGCACCGTGTATAGAACAGGGCAGCAAGGCTCAACTACTGAGGGCCCCGGCGTCTGAATTACTGCTACTGCTATGGTGGTCGTCGCCCAGCATGCCCTTGAGGCTCTTGGTCAGCCAGATGGCCGTCTCGCGCGGCGAAACCTTGCCGCGCCCGAACGGCTTCAGCACGATGGTCAGCTCCTCGAGCCGTTGCTGCGACAGCAGCTGCGCCGAGAGCTCCAGCAGGCCCTCCAGCGCCTCGGCGCGCTGCCGGTACGACTTCACGTCCAGGCCCTTGGCCTCCGACTCTTGGTCCTTGCTGCTGGAGGTGCGCGACATGGCCACCGGCGGGACCTGGTGCACTTGCTCCACCTCGGACACGCGCTGCGGCAGGTCCAGCAGCGTGCCGATGTCCATCTTGCCGGGCAGGTCCATCTCGCCCACGCCCTCCACCACCTGCGGCTGGTCGCCGCCGACCTGCAGCCGGAAGGTGCTGTGCCGGATCACGTGGATCACGTCGTTGTACGCCGGCCGCATCTTCACCGGCGACGGCACCTTCTCGGCCTCGATCTGGATGGTGCCCTTCTCCTGCGTGCGGTCGCCCTCGTCGTAGTCCGGCTGCATGCCGCGCGCCAGCTTCGACCGCGGCGTGGCGTAGCTCAGGCTGTCCTTGGCGCTGCGCTGCCGCGTCAGCGACGTGTTGCGCGAGTCCGCCTTGCTGCCCGCGCCACCGCCGCCGGCGCCCGCCGGCGCCTTCAGCGCGCTCTCCATCGACGTCTGCTTCTGCAGCCGCGCCACCGCCTCCTTCACCTTCGACCGCACCTTCGCGCCGTCGCTCAGGCAGTCGTCGTTCTGCTGGAACGTCTCGCACATGCCCGCGTTCCCGTGCAGCGCGAACTCCGGGATCAGGTCCAGCCGCGGCGCGTTCACGCTCACGTCCGGCGACCGGATGTCCGTCAGCCCCGAGATCTCCGACCGCGCCGATCGCTCCGACACCACGCCGCCGTACTCACAGGTGGAGATCGGGTGCGACGACGTCGAGCCCAGCGACATATCCTCCGGTATCACCCGGTGCAGGTCCGGGTTCCGCCCGGTCAGTCGCGACTGCAGCGACGACTTTACCGCCTCGGGCCGCGCGCCGTTCGAGTGATGGTGGTGGTCGTTATTGGACATGGCGCGCGCCGGCGTGCCCGACACCGACGACCGCACCCGCGGGCTGGCTAGCGAGCTCCGTCCGCTGTTGGCGCTGCCGTTGCTCCCGCCCAACGGCGATATGCTCCTCCGCTGGTGCGGCGGCTTCAGCGGCAGCGGCAGCGAGGCCCGCCGCGGCGTGGCCCCGGTGCCGGTGGCCGGCGTTCGGGCCTTCGGCTTCCCCGACAGATGGTCGTCCTGCCGCGCGGGCGAGGCCGGGGGAAGGCTCTCGGTTCGGAGCTTGCCCCTGGGAGAGTCGGAATGCCCATGCTGCGCGACGACACAAGCCACGACGTTAGCCCACAATCCGCGACTACCCAGATCCGCGACGACACGGACCACAATGGACAGCGAGTTGGGCCGGAGGGGCTTACCTGTTGTTTTAGATGCGCAACTTGAGGGGTTCTCTTGGGCACGGGTTCGGGCTTAAACCTCAGAGGCTTGCCCGACGGCGTGCGAGGACTCTCGGCCGGTGGCGCGACTCGAGCCAGGTGATTCACTCGCGGCGAGCTTTTCACAGGAACCCGGGAATTGCCCTCGTCCTGCCTCTCGGCGGGCTTGAGGTGGGTCTCTGTCCTGTGCAGTTTGCCGGCGAAGTGCGTTTCTACGGCTCGATCCTCTTCGGCCCACATTTCGCCTAGCTGGTTATTGTCCCGGTGTGTATGTGTAGCTGATACGTGGCCACGACTCGACGATCTAGAAGCGTCCTTCTCTATGCTATCGAAGTGCCATCCGTTATCCAGATCATCATGGATTGCTTCGATCAGTCCACCATAATCAAATGCTCTGCTGGGACTACTCTTAATGCTACTTGCGAAGCTCTCTCTGCCGCTGCTGTCATGACTTGCGTTTTGATCAATAAGATGCCCGTTACCCATGTTTCGGTTAGGGGACGCTGTATGAAGAAGGCCTGCTTGTAACCGGCACTGAGTGATATACGGTTGGAGGTAAGGATGTCTCAATAACTCAGCGGCCTGGACAATCACGCCGGAGCTCAAAGTCAGGCACGGAATTCTGTAGGCCGATTTTGCAACCGAACCAACAACACCTCGACTACTTGTCAGGCGAAAATCAACAAACTCTAAAAGTGTGATACTTACAGTTGGACGGTGCTCTGGATTCTTCCTCAGCATGCTCCTGATCAAACCCTTCCTGTTCACAGGAAAAACATCCACCGTCACAATCATCAGACAGCCGTAATTAACTTGCTGTATTTTTCAGGGAGGTCGAAGACGTTAAGACGCTAAATAAGAATCGAGAACTGGATCGAGACAGGCTGGGGAATAGGATTTTCAAACACTTACAATGAGCTGGAGTAGTTGGCAGGTAGAGGTCCAATGGTCGATCGGTTGATCTTGCTGATAAGTCCCTGCATATCCTGCAGAAATAAACACAAGCTAAACACGTTAGAAACTCCGAGCGTGAACATCCATAATAATCAAGCATCCGTGCATAAGATGGCAGCCATCTTCAAAAGAAAGCTTGAAGCAGCTAACACTGTTGGCAACTACTGCAACCTGGGAACTAGAAGAATTGGAGAGAATATATGCTTACAAAGGCTTTAAAGGCTGGCCTGTGCGCTGTGATCTCGTACATGCAGCATCCTATTACAGCCAGTTGCCAGTGTGAGCGAACAGTTATACGAAAAATCTCGAGTACTGACGTCTGGTGAAAAAATGGATCTAAAGCGTCCTCCTCGCGGCAATTGCAATGGCAAGTATGGAAATTGCAGATGCTCACCTAGTGACCAGATGTCTGATTTGAAGCCATACGGAATATCAGCAAGAAGTTCCGGACACATGTAGTTTGGGGTTCCAACCACCTGTGGTTCAACTAGTACGATCAGCACGATGTGGAAAGAATCACGAAGCAAGACATTCGACAATTTCCAACGTTGGACGTGGTAAGTAGTATGAGCCAAGGACAACGATTCTGCAACTCGAAGGACAAAAAAGACTACTTACAGAGGAAGCCAAGTCATCCGCTGCCAGCATTTTCGCTAGCCCGAAATCTCCTGCGTAATAGAAAACGCCCATGTGCGTCAGTATGATCCAGTGGTGACACGGTCTTATTGTGCTGGAAAAGAGTTTATCCAAAAGATCCGGAGACCTTGAGGGTTTTCCTTACAGCATTTGTCTTGTTCAAGCAACTCACAGCTAGTATACCACAGTGACCGCTTCTCGCCGTCACTTACCAAGTCGGATGTCATGATCCTTTGTGAGAAAAATGTTGGAACACTGCAATCACACACGACAGGTGGTGTAAGACAGTGATATGCAAGGCAACTATACACCTACACGGAGAAGCTTGAAAACACTGAGCAATGGTAGAGGACACTGGCGGATCCACTGGGATCATGCATTCTAATTTCGAAGACATCAAATCAGCTGCAGAGGCATCCACAACCACAAGTAAACTAAATCCCAGCCTTTCCCGTGACTTGCCTTAAGATCCCTGTGAAGAACATGATTTGAGTGCAAGTAGTCTACGGCCAAAAGCAATTGGGCGAACCATCGACATAGTCTCTGCAGGATCAGATTAATACCACAGGCACATGGTCAGCATGACAGCTCCGCACATACGAAACATCCTCAATAATGACAGGCGCTAGGCATTCAAGATGGTAGAGGGTAGATAATCAGAAAGAAGAAATAGCCGCGGTTGACGATACCAACCTCCTCTGAGAAGTACTGGCCATTGGCTTTCCTAACAACTTCGGCCCTGTATTCCGATGCACAAAACAGGTTCAGTGATGACGAGCGCGAACACTAGGCATCATCACAGAGCAACACCCCCATGCCACCATCTACAACAATGTTATGAAAAACGTATCGCATATTTCTGGGAGACTTACATGTCACCACCTTCACAGTAGCCGGTCACGATGCAAACGTAGCAACCCTGACATGTGAAAACCAATGCCTCGTTAGAGAAAAGAATTTGCTCTTCTCAGAGAAAAGGGGCGATATCTCGATTCTCCAAACTGCTGGGGACCATTCGAATCGACTACAAGGGCTTGGAAAGAACAGCGATGCCCTATTTGCCTTACACTACGATATAGTTAATGCCACATCCAAGGGGAAAAACAAGCTCACCTTCTCTACCCAGGCTTCCTTGTAGTCCACGATAAACGGGTGCTGAACCCTGGAGACAAGAGCCATCTGATAGCAAGCGCAAAGGAGGAACACGGTGAAGGTCAGAAATCGGTTGGGATGTGAAGACATTCAACTGTTTCGCATCAGCGACCGGCATTTTGAGTGAAAACAGAGACGCATCAAAATTTCCAGATTGGATTGCGGAGACCTGTTTCAGAAATAAAGAAGGCCGATGCCAATGCACTCACCTCTTGATGGGCAGATCGTCGACATCGGTCCGTCTGACGAGCGAGACGGATCTTTTTGAGGACATACCTGCAAGGAATCAAGGGAACCAGTCAGGATGGAGTGAACGATGCATCCAAACTCCTGCGCCCAGCACAAGTGGAAGAAAGCACAGGGACTATACAGGGTCAAGGCTGAGAGTTGTGGACGGGTAATGTGAATGTGCAGATTGATAAATGACAGGTGACAGGTGACAAGAGTGCAGTGGCGCGTGTCACAAGGGCACGAAGCTCAACGTTCGACATTACGCATATATTGTTTCCGTGTGAAGGTAAGCAGTGACTCACTTCTTCTTTTCGAGCTTGTGATTCACAAGTATTGCAGATCCAAAGGCGCCCCGCCCAACCTGTTCCATAATCTCGTACTGGTCCATTTTCGACTCCATTGCTTCAACTGATTATTTGACTTTCGAGATGAGAGGTGGTGACACGGCACAGTCTTTCCTACACAAGTTTCTGTTCACTCATTCGCAGATCCACTTCACGTCCAGCCGGGGTGCGATGCTTTGTATGCATGAACTCTGGTCCGCTTTCCATGAAGCCTGTGGTAGCTATCTAAGCTACCAAAGGTATCGACGCGCTTTCTCCGCCAATGCCAGTCTAAGTTAAGAAAAGAATTTGCTTTGGGAGTTATTTTCTCTAAATAAATGGCGCCCGCCTTAGAGGAATGTGCCCCTCAGGACACGACGGAATTAACAGAAAAGTGTACGAATCATAAGAAGATATGAGGGAAGAATATGCTTGAAGTAAAGAAAACTGGGAACGGCACTGACACTCGGGAATTGTCAGCGGATTCTCTTGCTATTGATGGTCTGGTCGAGAATACCGGCGAGGAGGGTAATGCAGAATCCAGTGAGGAGGACTCGTGCAGGTCCCGGATCAAGTGATCAGAAACAGGAAGTACGACACTTTGTACTAGAAACAAACACACACAGAACGACACAGGGACCTATGAACAAGGTTCGGATGCAAACGATGGGCCGAAGCACCGTCGAGGAGAGCGACACAGCAATCGGGTGGTACAGCAATTAGGGCAGTACACTGCACACAATGCAGGATGGGAACAGGCAAGCAGCTCGATAGAACCGCAGAGCACTTCAGAGTGCAATGTCGCAGAACCGAAACACTCTCGGATTGAAACGGAAGCGATAGAGGCCCAGGACCGAACGAAAACCCGAAACCGCAGAACGAAGTAGCGCGAGCTTCGACTTTACCACAGAGGTTACACAGCCGTGCTTCTCTCGTCCCTCCACCCTCCTTCTCTTCCTTCTTCTTCTTCTTCTTCTTCTTCCCAGCGCACACCAACAACGACGACGACGATGACGACACCACTCCACAGCCTGCGCTCTCACGTTCACGTCCCCCTAGAATTTGAAACTCGACTCCACCCTCAGCGACGAATGAACAACCTCGCCCCCGGTTCCCGACCCCTGCCTGCTGCTGCTGCCGCCCTCGATGCACTGGCGCAGTCTCCGCACAAATCGGGCCCGCAATCCGCCTTCTCTCCCCGCTCTCTAGTCCTCCTCCAGGCCAGCAGCAACTCACCCACTCAACCGCAATCAAAATGCTGACAGAAACTGCACAAAATACACCTCGAGATCTGCACGCTTAAACAAATTCCCAGCCAGTCTCTCCACTCCTCTTCTCTTCTCTTGTCCTCTCTGCTCTTCTCCCGTCCCCTCCTCGAGTTTCCTTCCTCTCTCTCTCTCCCTCCCTCTCGAGTTCACCGCGCTTCTCCTCCCCGGGTGCTGCTGCTGCTGCTGCTGCGATGGGCCTCGCTTAGCTTAGCGTCGCGTGCTCTGTGACACTTTGATGATGATAAGTAGCAATCAAAGGGAATCAGAATGCGCAGAGGGGGACGTCGTCGTCGTCGTCGTAGTCGTCGTCGTCTAGCACTCGGAGCTCGGAGCCTCTCTCGTCGATCTCCCTCTCGCTCACTCTCCCTCTCCCTCTCTCTCGCGCGCTCTCTCTCCCCCTCTTCTGTGAGAAGAGGCCGCAAGGCTGGACTGTAATTAAATGGCGCAAGGGTTTTACCCGGCCCCGTCGAGGCCAACGCGCGCGGGCGACGCCTTTGAACCACAGCGCGGTAACTCTGACAGCCACCCCCACCTGGCGCGTCACGCGCAGTTTACTACTGTCAGTTCTGTGTCGTTTTGACTGTTACTGTACTGTGCCCCCGGGCGGGCCAAATCCCCGGCGCCTGCTGCCCGGAATCTGGTCCCGCAGCATCATGAGCCGGCGTCCTCCGCTCCACGATCCGGCGGATCGACGCCGTGTGCCCCGCGGGCGCTCCCCCCCTACCCCCACTCCCGGCCGGCTCCCGCATGACCGCCCTCCGGTCCCCAGAGTAGCTCGCCCGTGATCCTGCCCCATCCATGTGACCGTCACTGTGTTCTTCCTCCCGCTCGTTTGGGTGGTAACGTCCGACGTTCACCCCCCCCCCCCCCCCCCCCCCCCCCGTCGCCCCCGAGAGGGACGACGACGACGACGGCCCTTCGCTCAAATATTCCTCCTTCCGTTGTTCTTCCCCCCGCCGGCCTCTCTCTGACCCTGACCCACAGCCTGCCAACAGTTCATGAACGAGTGAGCGAGAGAGTAGAACTTTTTTTCCTCGATGGATTGGGTTACTCTCCTTTCTGCATCTCGGTCTTCATTTTTTGCCCCAAGTTCATGCATGAATATGGAAAGTGACGTGCATGGACTCTATCGATAAACAATTCGTGTGCTAGGACTGGCGACCCTTTCTGCCCTGGGCGGGGGCGGATTAAAAATTGCAGAATCTAAGAAATATCATGTCTTTTACCGATCATCCGGTGCTCGATATGCTGTCGGGTAAAGGAAACAGAGGAAGGCGACATTCTGAAAAGAAGAGAAAGTGGACGACTTTTAGTTCGGTAATTGGTTCTCCTTTTCGTTAAGGGTTTTTTATCTTTAGCTTTTCTGATGGTGCGGTGACTGAATTGAGGGATGGCGCAGGAGAGAGGAGAGGAGCATTGTGTTTTACTACTCTGTATCAGAGCGGCCCGAGATTGGCTACTGAAATTATGAGGATAACATGACATTCACCGCGGAGCTCCACTATTCCTTCCTTCATTGCATTGCATTGATGCCAGATATTGCAACGCGCTAGTCATAACACGAGACCGTTCGATTTCTCCCGGAAGATGCTCGCCCGTTAATTCACAGTCCGAGGACTCGGTCCCGGAACAAAATCCCCACGAGCACTAGGACCACTTCGATCTACGAACTTGCCTGTAGCGAGAAGAGATCCACAAATGCCACAACTCGCCAACCAAGAGTGGGCCACGGAATTAGCGCACCGGGCGGCCGCTCTTATGGCAGCAAGTCCATGCTGGATCCACAGCCTCCACCTCGACGTATGTAAGTAAGAATGATGCAGGCCACTAAGATGATGTCCTGAGCGCATTCAAACTATTGATTTCCAGCCTTGAAACCCATTGCACTGTAGGCAAGGTCCAACAGTATTGCGCGACGGGGACATTAAGCTCGCTTTGTCCTCCGGAGAGAGATCTACAGGCCTCGTACCTCACGGTCCTCATCGAATCAATCATTTTACTTCCGCTTTTGGAGTTCAAGTTGCTAGTTCCGGCACTATTCGTGCAGTAGGTAGGCAGACCAGATCATACCGACAGCAGCAGCAGCAGCCAGCCAGAAATACGATATTACGATCACGTTCAGGTCCCATATCCCATTTCCAGTCTTCATGTCCAGCAGACTGGACATGAAGACTGCACTAATTTTTAAAGGGGTTTTTGCTGCAAGGAATGGATAGACTTTGATTAAGCACTACAACTGAAAGGCTTGTTACATATGTTGGGTTGCTGCTGCGGCGACTCCTAGATTTGATTCATCGTCCTGATTTGTTGAGCCGAGGGTTGTGTTTCTTGGATGCCAGTTGTTTGTTTTCTCTTCCGTGCTTCTTCTTTTGGGAATGGATCCGATCTGTTGCTAGCTTTTCCAGTCGAGCATCAGTACGTCTACCTTAACCCCGTCATGGCTCTAATTTCTGTGCTCGGGCTATGAAAAACGGACTTCGGTTGCGTCATGGAAGTTGTATCTTCATGAATCTTCAATCTTATAATTAAATGTTGCTGCCATAAATTACAACTTTTACAGGTAGCACCAGTTACTGCTGATTGTACCGACCAGCTGCAAATTCATCGATAAAGTTCACAAAAGTGTTAGACGAAAAACTACGTCGGGGTGTTCATTTTTAGAAACAATTAAAATTGAAAAGAATCTTAAAGTACTTAAGTTATTTAAACTCAAAATTTTCTTCTCACTTCATTTATAACAAGTTAAAAGTGGATTTAGTTACAAGCTAATTTTCTTTCGAAATAACACGCTAAGGATTACTTGAAAATGTATGTTACTAATATATTGGACATGTAATATGTTGATAACAGTCTTGTTCCAAAAATATAAGCTTTTGCATTATTGTTGTATATTTCTGTGAGAAAACTAAAATATAAACTGAATTGAAATTATATTTGAAATCATGACCTTTTTACTTCATGACATGGATTATCCATTGCACTAATATTATTTGGATGAAATTATCTTTCATCCTTATTTAATAATAAATTAAAAAATTAGATGCGTGCGTGTTTTTGTACGCGCTAAATTGTGTTTTCAATAAATTTTATTTCTTGAACTTTATCATTCCATATCATCTAAGGAGTATGTTGGTCCCATGTAAGCAGATTTTAAATTTCTACGTAATCGATTCTAGAACCTTTGGTTATGTGGAAAAATTCACTTTAAACCTTCAACTATCCATTCCGTTGAAACATTCTGCCATGTTCATTGATTTTATGATAGCTAAACACGTAGGATTTGACACGATAACTAAAACTCATGAAGCCTTATCGTGTCAAGGGTGTAAAGACTGATTTTGAGTTAAGATCAAAGCAATATGAAAATTTAATTTTGTTGTATTCTGGTAGACGTTACTCTAAGATATATCAACATACTCTCAAGTTTTATAAATAAGATTATGTATAAAAAGGAACGAAGACATAAATTTTAATGTTAATTACAAGATCGATGGGGGAGAAAACTTATCTCAAGAAGAACACATGTGACTAAATTTTTACTTTTATTTCGAACACTTATTCACATTAAGGGAGTAGCTTTTTCTTCGGTGTCTTCATCAGAACAATGATAGTCATAATGTGTACAATATAGTGACATCAATAGAGTCCAACCTTCGCACATCTATAGTGAACGTAAATTTTCACTCGAGTTACAATTTGCACTATAGCATTGCAAACGAACGTCAGGAGTGAAGACACGACTTCACTCTTGTTCGGCTGAAAAAGAACGTGTGATACGAGATTGCAAATTAACTATAAACATGGGCAACGAGAAGGAATAATGACGTTAGATAATTCGCGCAGCAGACTCAGCACAGTTTGACTACGGTAGACTCTGTGCACAGCGATTTATCATTGCACACTGATTAATAGTTTAGAGTTATCAGTAAAAACAAAAACTGTATGCTAGTGCAGTTTCATGTCTTTTAGACTTGCAGTTATAAAGGTGAGACTATGCTCAAAGACTCCGTCATGGATGCCTACATTGCAAAGGTTTTTTCAAGTACGGTTCTGCAGTGAAAGAAAACCAGATGCTTTCATCACCTCTCATCCTTGACATTGTCACCAATAATTTAGCTCAATTTTCAAGGCCTCCTGCCAAATTTCACAACGTGTCGGATCAAGGTTTAGCTACATTTCTAAATTACATTCCCACAACATGCATGTAACTGATTTCTCACGTGATAACTGTGGAAAGATAAACACCAATTTTTTATGAGCTGGTGAATGCGAGGAAGCCACAATCTTCCTAGCTAAATGGCATTTCGAGAGTGTAGTCAAACGATAAAGTCGTCTGTTCAAGTGCGATGGTACATCCCTCCTTTCTAGCCATTCCGCGGTTCAATGCCTTTTATTCCGTTCCATTTATTGGAAGCAAATGTGGAGAATTTTTATCAATCAGCAGGTTCAATGTTTACTTTTGTTTGGAAGATTGTGACGTACATGATGACTTAACACACCTAGTCGGTCATTAAATTTTGCCAAATTTAGTACACATGAAACGAAAAAATACCTGGAAAAACCAACTGTGCACATCAATATGCTTCTTCATTTCAACCCTTAGACTTATATCAGAGAAGGTTCAGAATCTACAAAGATCTGGAGATCTGAACAATCCTTGACTTGGAATGTTTTCGACCCTCCATAATGCAGAAATAAATGGTCAATGTCCTCCCACGATCTTTAGCTCGAGGCAAAAAATTTCTTAAAAACCCATCTTCGCCAGAAAAAATCAGTTTCGAATAATTTGAAAACAGAGAGAATATGCACAAAGTATGCGCTTATTTCTTTAAAGATATGCATATAAATTAACGTATTTGTTTGCTGTTGGTGGGTCTACCGACCTGTGGTAAGATTCAGAAATTGTTGAAGGAATATGAAGAAGGAATAAGAGCGAAACTTGGATGTCCTCTTGATCAGCCGTCTCTGATACTCAACAACGTCTTCCAAAACGTACCTGTTCAGCTCCAAGTACCAACTACAGTACCCATGTATGTGTCTACGCATTCACCACAAAAGTTTCCTTGAAAATATCCGAAATTTTTGCGAATTTCGGTTGACTTACTACTTCATTCCACCATGTTGCTACAAAAGAGTCCATGCACGTACGAACCAAAGTATTGTCGCCCAAAAAAAAGCATCACGACTGACAGCGCATATAAATATTTATATATATACACTCATCAAGCGCCTCAGTTTATTGCTGAATTCTCTACAAAATATCTGCTCAACCACGACTGTGTGACTAACCGCGGCGACCGGCGCACTCTCACCGAGCCTACCATCACTGCACATGTTCCGAACCACGTCCTCCCACGCAGTCTCACTTCCGTAATCGCTGTGGTCCGGTTTACGAGGTCAACCCCTGAAGA